TTACTAGCCTGGGCAGAAAAGTCATCATGTTCCTCTCCCTCTGCCTTAGTTTCTGCTGCCTGTACAATGGGCACAATATAGGATGATTCATGACAAAACCAGGGTAGGTGTTCTGTATCCCAAGGATGCTAGCAGTGTCCGTTTCTGGGGTCCTTCCCTAGTGTAGTGTTTGTGGAGTCTGAACCTCACAGAGTGCTCATCCTGTCACCTGCTGTGACAGATGTGGGGTCCTAAAACTTGAGGTATTAATTCTGGTGTTGGAAAGACCAAAGGCCCAGTCTTCATTCTTTGGAGGCTGGCACATTTCTTCCCAGAAAGCAACTAGGGCATTTGGTAGTGTGAAGGCCTGAAGCTGAGTCATTCTAGGCTCCCTTGCTTATTTGGCTGCTGGGTGGTGAGCTGGGTGAATGGTTTTAAGACGGAGGTGGACAAAGGGACGTCAAAAGCACATCAGAGACCCATCCTATCTTCTGTGAGAAACTTTCTGTTTTGAGACATCTCACTATGTAGATCAGCCTGGCCTTGAATTCAGAACGCAGTCTGCCTCTACCTCCCCAGTGTTGGGATTAGAGGTGTGTGTGAAAAATGGTTTTTTTTTGTTTGTTTTGTTTTGTTTCCTATAAAAATCTAGGTAAGGACTTCCTCTTCCCCTTTGCACTGATTAGTCAGTCACACTGGACTGCGGAGTGGAACTCCTAACTGTAGAGGCAATCTAGAATTGTATCTAGGGTAAACGTTAGAATGAAACAGTTCCTTCTCACTGTATCCAGGGTAACATCAAGTTTCAGTAGTTTTTTTCATTGTATCTAGAGGAGTAACATTAGAATGTAGTAGTAATTTGTTGGAGGTACTTAGACCTTGAAGAAATCATTGTAGAGAACAGTGATTGTTTTCTGTGATTTATAGAGTTGTTTTTCTGAGGGAGTTTTCCATCCATTGCATGACTTCAGTCACAAGACTATCCTGGCACACCTGGAGTGTCTTGTATTATTTACTGGCCACGGCAAACAGGACACAATAAGGACTAAGGATGCAGGGATGTGATGATTTCCTTCAGAGAACATACAGAATGACCAAAGGGGCTTTGGTATGAGGAATTTGTTTTACCCCCAAAAAAACCACCTTTGTGTAACAATCAATAAACACGCTTCTGAACGGCTGTTAGAGGTTTAGTCCATCAGAGGCTGGACCTCCCTGCCGCTACACAGCCTGAATTACAGTCTTTCTTTGATCATCTCTTGGTTTAGTCCATCAGAGGCTGGACCTTCTGGCCGCTACACAGCCTGAATTACATTCTTTCTTTGATCATCTCTTGAAACACAGAACATGACTCCCAGCTGATGTAGGTGAACGCTGTCTCCCTAAAACCCCACCTTGGGGAAGTTGGATACACAGAGGAAAAGGCTGGGCTGCAGTGGGACAAAGGACAGGAAAACCTCCTGTTGAGTGGTTTTAGCTTCTTCAAGGAGGGTCCTCCTTCCCTCTGTCGACCTCCTATGGCTAATTACAAACCTTACTCTTCGGCAAGTTAAACCCTGTCATTTATGTGTGCAGTTGTGTCCTTGATGCACAGAACAGAGAGAAGTGTCACTCATTTCATTAGACGCCAGGCTCTGTGACTATAAAGTACTATTCAGGAGCTGGAGAGAGAGCTTATCAGGTAAGAGCCTTGACTGGCTCTTCTAGAATGCCTGGGTTCAATCTCTAGCACCCACATGAGAGTTTACAACTCTCTTTAACTCCAGATCTGATGCGCTCCGGTACCAACTATGCACGTGGTACAGAAACATACATGGAAACAAAACACTCATACACATAAAAAAAAAAAAAAATCTAGCTGGGCAGCGGTGGCGCATGCCTTTAATCCCAGCACACAAGAAGCAGAGCCAGGTGGATCTCTGTGAGTTCGAGGCCAGCCTGGTCAATAGAGCGAGATCCAGGACAGGCACCAAAACTACACAGAGAAACCCTGTCTCAAAAAAACAAAACAAAACAAAAAACAACAAAAAATTAAATTTTTTTTTTCAAGATTATTTAGCAGTTGATATTTTCATCATTTAGGTGTGGCTGTTTAGAATTTTAGGGCTGGGTGGTGGCTGCAACCTCAGCAGTGGAGGCAGGAGAGCTGATGGTGCAAGTCTGAGGCCAACCTGGTCTACCTAGAGCTAAGAAATGAGTAAAGGCAGAGACAAAATAGCTCAGTGGAGGACCTCTGTGGCTGAACGGGACTAGAGCTGTAAATCACAGAGCTGGAGGCCCCAGATGCTCCGATTAGCTCCTCAGCCCCACTCTCTCCATTTTTCCCTGGAAGCCACTTGCTAGCAGGGCAGCACATCCCAATTCTGCTAACAGACACACCCATGCCATTCATATTCTTGGTAGCATACTCTATAATAAACTCAGCAAACTATATAAAAGTTTGAGTTATGTGAGACCTCATAGCCAATTTCAAAAATTTGTGTGTATGTATGCCATGCATGCAGGTGCCCACGGAAGCCACACTATCAGGTCCCCTTAGAGCTGGAGCCACAGGTAATTGTGAGCTACCTGATGTGGGTACTGAGAACCAAACTCAGGTCTTCTGGAAGAGCAGCAAGTGCCTTTAACCACTGAACCACCTCTCCAGCTCTACTTACTTGTTTTTAACTTCTAAAAATTACTTTTATTTATATGTTTGTGTATGTGCACAGAGATCAAAAGAGAGCATCAGATCCCCTAGAGCAGAATGCACCACTGGATGTGGAAGAGCTGTAAATACTCTCAACCACGAGCCAAGCCATTAGCTCTTACCCGGGTTTTGTTTTGTGGAAGTGTCTTCACTACACAGACCTGGATGGCCTGGAACTCTCTGTAGACCAGGCTAGTCTCTAATGCCTGTCTCTCTGCCTCCTGAGTACTGGAATTAGCGGTGTGTGCCACGACAGCTCTGTCTCAGTGAAGGTGCGCAAGTGCCATGGTTCCTGAGTGCCAGGCACATAAAGCTCAGAGGACAACTTCCAGAAGTCTCCTTTCACCATGAGTTCTGGGAAGGGAAGGAACTTGGGTCATTAGATTTGCACGGCATGTGCCATCTTACCAGCCCTCTCATATCAAATTAACCAGCCAGGAGGGGGGTCTGGGAACTCTCAATGAGTTGGTTTTAAGTATATAAGGCAACCTCAAAGACATTAAGCCCCTCACCCTGAAGGGTCAGTTTTTTTTTTTTTTTTTTTTTTGTTTTTTGTTTTTTGTTTTTTGTTTTTCGAGACAGGGTTTCTCTGTGTAGCTTTGCGCCTTTCCTGGAACTCACTTGGTAGCCGAGGCTGGCCTCGAACTCACAGAGATCCACCTGGCTCTGCCTCCCGAGTGCTGGGATTAAAGGCGTGCGCCACCACCACCCGGCTTGTTTTTTTTTTTTTTTTTTTTTTTTTAACTGTTGTAACTTAACTGTTAGAATGGGCATAGTGGAGAACACCTATAATCCCAGCACAGCACTTGGGAGGATGATCATCAGTTTGAAACAGCTAGAATATCTAAAAAAAAAAAAAAAAGCCAAGAACAAAAAGAAAAAAGAATTGAGTCATTGGCTACACGAGAAAAAGGTCACACAGGATGCACACCTAGAGACCAAGATGGCATTTGATGGACATAATCAATAAGAGCACCTATGTGCCAGGCCCTACTCGGGGCACCAGAAATATCAAGTTAATGCAATCTGGTCCCTGCCCCAGAGTTCACAGTCTAGGACAAATCAGGCTCTTGTCCAACAAAGGGGCATTTCAGTCATTTTACAATACAATCTTTGATAAGTTTCCTCAATACTTTGTGATAGCCACAATGTCTTAAAAGTAAGTTGGCATAAATGTACACAGTCACACAATTGTAGGACAGAAACCACCTACAATTCCAACACAGTGCTTTCTGATAGTGAACATTATTGGCACAAACTGTGCCAATCTGCAGAAACACAGACTCAGGAGTCCTGTGGTCCACCTGTTCTCATACATGGCTGAGACATTCTGGACACAAGGCACCTCTGATTCCCACCTGTCACAGCCTGCCCTGGACAAGAACCCTCTACATTCTTGGGCTCCTGCTGAGAATATCCGATGGCTGAAAGGGCCAATCCCTATTAGTTCAGTATGAGATCTCACAGCACACCCTGACTCTTCCCAACTGAGGTGAGTCTTCCTTCTTTTTTCTCCCTAAGTCTCTGTAATTTACCAGGAGTGGCCAAGCAGCCAGCAGTGTGGGGTGGCCCCACTTCACTATATACCTGCTGGGGATTCTGAACATGACAGTGGAACCTACGATTTGAGATTCAGCATCCTGGAAGGTTCATTTTGCCCCAAGTGCAAAAGCCCACAGATTAGGTCTGCATAGGGCTCGCTCAGGAAGCTCAAAATCTGCAGAGACCTAAGGCAGACTTGGGTTGAGGCTGGGGCCTAAGGGTGAGCTGTGTAGTAGATGGTACAGACCTATAAGAAAGCAGGGATGTGCTACCTCCTCACAGGGGAAGTGTCTATGCTGGCTGGCTGGCTGGATCAGGCCCTAGTAACTTTTTGTCTTTTGGTTTTGAGATAGGGTTTCTCTGTTTAACAGCCTTGGCTGTCCTGGAACTCACTCTGTAGACCAGTTTAGCCTCAAACTCAAGAGATCTGTCCGCCTCTGCCTCCCAAGTGCTGGGATTAAAGGCCTGTGCCATCACATCTGGCTCAGGCCCCAATAATTCTTACCTCCCTGGGTGTGAGTGTCCCCAGCTCCGTGGTAACCTTGCTTGGACAGAGGCCTGCCAGGTAGGTCAGAAGGTCAAATACAGAAAACGTGGTAAGAGGAAGAAGTAAGGTGTCTCTCAGTTGACTGACACCAAATTAGAACAGTTCCAGAGGCCCAAGCAAGCTCTGCTCTAGGCTCACGGCTGGCTTGCCTGGAACAGGGGTCTCTGGCTCCCACTTAGGACTACCTTTCAGTTTTCCTGCCCCTCAAGCTGCTCCCTTTTCCCAGTGATGGCCCAGACAGAACTTTTAATAAAAAAAAAAATAATTTATTGTCAACAAAGGTAATATATACAACAGGATAAAAGATGCAAGAGGACGACAGGTGAGGGGTGGTAAAGGGAGCCCTCGGCAGGGATGAGGCGGTAAGAGGTAATGGAGGCCTCCTGCTGTAGGAGCCAGAAGTGGGGGAGGAGAGGTGTCCCCCGAGGTAGTGGGACTCAGTTCAAACCCCATCATGACCACCTCTACATAAGGCACTGTGCCAGGGGAGAGTGGTGGGGAGCTGAGGAAAGAGGTGTGGGGTCAGAGGGTAGGTCAGCGAAGGATTGGGGAAGGTGTTCTCCACAGGCCCAATGCCGCATCACCCAACAGCCTAAGCCACCTCTGCCTAATTCAGTCTCGGCCAGGCATTTCTAGTGCCCCAGTGTGACAGTGATGTCACCCCTCCTCTGAGGTCTCCTGGCACCTGGTTTTAAAACTCTCCATCAGGTGGCCAAGCTGGGCAGATCTGAGATTTAAGTCAAGGGGGGATACTCCCTCCCACCTTTCCTTCCTCCCACCCCTCCCCTGCCCAGGAAAGTGAAAACTTACACCCCATTTCCTGCCTCTGGTTGTCCCTTAACAGTGGCACCGGATTCTGACAGAACCGTGGACCAGTCTGGGTTGTCACCTGTTCCCACCCCCTTGGTGCCCTGGGGATGCTTGGACCAGTCCTGTAAGAGGCTGACGGCAGGCGGCTCCTCCATCCGAACACGGATAACCTGGAGATCCAGTGTCCCACGAAGCCCCGGAGGGGGAGCTGGGAAGGGATGGGAGCAGAGAGTACAGTCAGGGCCTTCCAATGGTCCCCAAAACTGCAAACCACAGACTACCAGGGTTTTTCATTTCCATAGCCCAAGAAAAAGCGTAAGGCTGACTCTTGATTGATCAGCAATGACTAGCCTCACGGCCCTTAGGCACAGGGCAAGCACTGAATGCAGCTTTCTTTGTGTACTTGGCATGTGGGGACATAATGCCATGATGCTGCTCCCCAACTTCTATCTTCAAGATTGCACACAGAAGTGATATAGTGGAGACTGTCTAAAGAAGTCTACCCATGGGGACTGGAGAGGGCTCAGTGGTTAAGAGCACCTGCTGCTCTTCCAGAGGACCTGGGTTCGAGTCCCAGCACTCATGTCAGGCATCTCACTTCTGCCTATAATCCAGCAAGAGGGGTGGGGATCTCACTCCCTCTTCTGACATCCACCCCCACATACACATTGCAAACACTTATAAGATACATACAGATGTCTGGATAAATAATAAAAGTAGTCTACCCATGGCTTTGACCCCACGGGCTATGGGAGTGACAAGGCAGAGCACATCACACAGACAGCTGGGTTAATGTCCCAGCAGCTTTGCTCTTTAGCACTCATCCAGGCTCCACGTCCCTGGAGTTGATAGGTGTCACACAGGCAGGGGTCTCAGCATGAGGAAGGTACAGAGAAGAGCAAAGCCAGGCCTCCAGATAGGACAAGGTAGAAAACACCAAAAGTGTTCTCCACTTGGGCCCACGCAAGTGGTATTACACGGCAAAGCAATCCTAGCCCTCGAGGCAGGCCAACCTGGAGGTCAGGGTTATTTATTGTCAAGATCAACTGCATGAGACTGCACCCCCCCAAAGCCAGGCCCACACCTCTAATCCCAGTATTTGGGAGGCAGAGGCAGGTGGATCTTTCAGTTCAAGGCCAGCCTGGTCTATAGACTGAGTTGCAAGACAGCTAGGGCTACACAGAGAAAAAACAAAACCAAACTAAAAAAAAAAGTCAAACAGGAAATGGTAATCAAACTGTGCTAATTGCATAAACATATTCAGTAAGTTTTTTTCTTCCCAGGAATTTCTTTCCATTCAATTTAAGACAGGTATGATTTTGCTGGAGTTTAAAATTAATCATGAGAATACAAGTTAGGCATGGTGGCGCACACCTTTAATCCCAGCACTCAGGATGCAGAGACAAGTGGATCTCTATGAGTTTGAGGCCAGCCTGGGCTACAGAGTGAGTTCCAGGACAGTCAGGGTTATGTACAGACGGTCTAAAAAACCAAAGAAGAGCTGAGAATACAGCAAGCTCAGTGGTAGAGTACTTGTCTGGACCATACATACTATGTTCATAATCCCAAAGTTCAAGGCCTGCCTGGGCACCTGAATGAGACTCTGTCTCACGATAAAAAGTAAACAGAGCTGGGCATCAGCTCAGTGGCAGAACACTAAGGTGAGCTGAGTGTCTTATCTGGAGTAAGCAAACATTTCTTCATGTCTCCCCAGGAAAAAAGTTAAGGCAACATTAGGTCGGAGTAGTGGCAGCTGACAGAAGAGTAAACTGAGGTTTGCAGATGGACTGATGTGGTGTTGGGAAACAGAAAAGGGTAACTGGTAGTTTGGCTACAGCAAGCCGAAGGCTGCAGTTTACTAGAGAAAAGGAAGCATCTTCTCCTGCCCTATGTAGACCAGACAGGTCACAAACTCAAAGCAATCTGCCTGCTTCTGTCTCTTGAGTGCTAGGGTTATTTGTTTGTTTGTTTAGACGGCATCTCCCTACATAGCACAGAATGGTCTCAAACTCACTATCCTCTTGTTTAGACGGCATCTCCCTACATAGCACAGAATGGTCTCAAACTCACCATCCTCTTGCCTGAGCCTCACTAGTGCTGAGATTACAGTCAGTTGTCACCATCCTCTGCTGACAACTTTAATCAACCCAACAGAGGTAGTGCCTGGCTACCAGTAGAGTTTGGAAGAGAGAGGGCCAAGCTGCAACCCCACAGATGTCATCTCCTAGATATATATAAACAGTGCTGAACCTGGAAGTGTTATGACCACTGGGACCATCACAGGGCTAAAAAGCTTACATTCTAGAATGGGGGTGACAGATACGATGTGCTACCAACTGTAGGAACCAAGAATGAACAAGGAAGCAAGGGACATGAAAAATACCAGGTATGATATACATCCGTAAACCTGGCACTTGGGAAGAAGAGGATGAGGGCCTACAAGGCTACATAGCCTGTTTCAGGTTAATTCAGAGGATGGAAACAGAGGCCTGACTACTGGCTTTACCTTTATGGCAGTCAACAGATGTTGGCAAAGAACAGACTTCAGTTTGTTATGAATAAAGTCTGAGCTCAGCAGCCTCGAGACAGGCAAGAGGCAGTGAGAGTAAAGAGTCCACCTTGGGAATAAATGGGACATAGCCAGAGGGATGAAGGGGTCAGGAAAGGAAAAACAGAAACTTTGTGTGGGCTAATAGAAGACCTGGAAGAGATGATTACCAGAGAGAGAAAACCTACTGCTCTTGAGATGGGAGAAAAGCTAATGCCTGCGAGGGGCTTCTCTTGAGAGGGGAGAAGTAGACTTGGGCCTAGATGCTAAAACAGAAAAGAGTGGAAGGGACTTGTGTAGCAACGTTCTCTCAGATTGAAACATTCTATCCTGCAGGGAAGCTCCTTAATCAGCAAGGTAAACAACTCAAAAAAGTTTCAGGAAGTCCCAGAAACTGATGAGATTCACTAAGCTCCACCCCTGCAAGAGTAAACAATAAAAGCTGAGAGTCCTTTTCCGGAGAAACAAAGCTGAGCTGCGTAATACACTGGCAGAGAGGCAGAGCTTCAAAGACGACTTTCAGAGGAGTATAAGCTGCCTGAGATCAGACTACTTGCCTGGAAGAAGCAGGAATCAACCAAGCTACCTGAAAGAGGTTTAGCCCAACTCAAGCACCTGAAGAGGACATTCTCCAACCTGTTGAACTGCCTGGAGGCAGTACAGTGTGCTCCAGGTTCCCAGCTTTGTGAGTAACATGTTACCCATGCTGGAGTGGGCTTTGGTGATGCAGCTGTCTGAGTTATTTCTGCTCCTGTAAGTTACCCCTCATCCATATTCCTGTAAGTAACCCAATAAACTCACTGGACTTCGGTGGTCTCCGTATTTTGGTCTGTAGTTGGTTCCCTAAGCGGGTGAACAGATGTATGTGACTTACAACTCCCCAAGAACAGTTTTGTCACACACAACAGGACTGAGTACCAAGCCTGCAGCTGGATGTCTGAGTGCGCCTGGGGGAAGCACAACAAGCTACAGCCTGCTGAGTGAGAGACCCTAGCCAAGAAACCGTATGTGCCCAAGACCTAGCTTCCATCCCCTAACCCTTTACTTTTGCAGTGTATAACCTTAGCCTCAGGAGGCTGAGGCAGGAGAATTGAAAGATCAAGGCCAGCCAGGGCCACAGAATGACTCTCTGAAGGAAACAAAAAACTAGTGCTAGAGAAATGACTTAGCAGTTAAAAGCACTGGCTGCTCTTGCAAAGGTCTCAAGTTCAACTCTCAGTATCTACACAGTAGCTCACAACCATCTGTAACTCTGCAGGGGACTTAAAACCTTCCTCTGGCCTCAGGAAGCCCCAGGCATGCAGCTGATGTACAGACTTACCTGCAGACAAAACAACCATACACATTGGGATTTTATACACAAGCTAAACAAGTGTTCCACACTAGCAACCCAATCTTCCTTATTTTCTGGTTCTCCTGTAGTGGGATCTGAACATTGAATTCAGGTTGTCCAGTTCATACAGCAAGTGAGCCGTCTTTCCAGCTCCTGGCTTTTCTTTTGAGGTGTGGTCTAGCTACTTTGCCCAGGCTGGCATCAGACACCTGAGCTCAAAGGCAGTGGCTAGGACTATAGGTATGCACCATTACAGTACTTGGCTCAGTTACGTTACCCTCTCAATAAAACAAAATCATACGGCTTCCTTCCCATGCTCTGCTTTTATGAGCAAGACACAGGAGACGCTCAGAACTTAGTGAAGGGTCCAGGAGCTGGAGACTCAGTCACCTGAGTTAAGCACCAATTCTTCCAGGTGACAAGGAGGCAGAGGGTCAAAGGGCAGAAATAAAAGGTCAGGAAAGCGAAGTCTGATGTGATAGAGACCAGGACCCTAAGGCCACAGAAAGCAAGCTGGGAGCCAGTGGACCTGCTGACCTGAGTGCACTCTCAGGACCCACAGCGGAAGGAGAAGACTGATTCCTGCAGGCTGTCCTCTGACCTCCCTTGTACACCACGGCACGTGCCCTCCCATAAGTAAGTAAAATAAACATTTTTAAAAAGCTTAACCAAAATAAATAAATAAATAAAAAGAGGAAGAAAGCAAGCTAAGAGGAGGGGGAGGATCAGGAGTTCAATGCCAACCTTTGCTAAGTAGTTTGAGGCCAGCCTGGGCTATAGAAGACCCTGTTTCAAAAAAACAAAACAAACAAACAAACAAACAAAACCAAAAAGCCAGGCATCATACGTTTTTGGGTTTTGGCTTTTAAAGATAGGTTTTCACTCTGTAACCTAGGCTGACCTCCAACCTGTAGCAATCCTCCTTGTTAAGTCTCAAACTCAACCAGGTTCTCCCAGTATCCCCCAGTCCCTACCTGTTACAGGGTTGGGTGGCATGCCCCACCCTCTACCCCTTTTACCTTCTACTCTTTGGCTGCCACACCTGGTCCCCTCTCTCCTCTCCCCCTTCTCTTCACATGGCTGAGGGGCAAATCCACTCTGGATGCTCCCTATTATCCACAATAAACTTCGTCCGCCACCATACCTAGGAGCAGTCATGTCCTTCCTTTTATTTTATTATTGTTTTTTTCATTCACTCCTGTCTCAGACTTCCAAGTGTTGGATCATGCTTGGCTTATGCTTGGCTTATAAGGTATTTTTATAAGGACCAAATGAATTACATACCAAAGTTTCTCAGTCAGTGGGACAGGTTACAAACAAGCTGTCAGCAGAAGCTCACTAAGACTGTTGGACTATGGAGCATCTGATTTTCTACACCTGTCTATGGTCCCCCACACCTGTTTAAATGGCCGAGTACCTCACTTGGGCCCCTGTATCACCAGTGTGAAGTGTGATCCAGGGGTCCAGCTGGAAGCAGCCTCATGGATGAAGTCAAGCACCAAGCTTTGAGAGGCCTAGCACAACCTAATGACCACCTCTAGAGCCGCTTAGCCCAGGGGCCAGCTTCCTCAGCATTCCAATCCCTGTCACTGGCCGTCTCCACCCTGGGCTCTGGCTGTGACCAGGGACTCAGCTTCCTGACAGCCCCCCCAGGAGGGCTCACCTGAAGAGGGGTTTTCTGGCTGAGGCAGGCTCTCTGCTGCTGCTTTGCTGTCTTTAGGGGAGTCCTTACTGTCTGTGGTCCTGAGCTGCGTGTGGGAGAAGAGCTGGAGGACAAAGCCAGGAGGGAAGCTGCCATCAGTGAAGTGTCGGACTTCGGCTGGTGCTGCAAACGTCTCTGTGGGTGACTCAGGAGATGGGGGGTCTGGAAGAAGGCCATGAAGAACTGTGAGTAGAAGAGGCCAGAACCCAAAGGCTAAAGCCTTAAGCTTCAGCTGAGCTGCATGCAGGTGCCCTCTGCCTGTCCACTTCCTCATGGACTTTATGCTACAGTGCTACAGCCAGGCCCAGCGCCCCTAGATCCTCTCACCTGGGTCAGGGTCCAGGTTTTTGGTCATATGCCTGTTTCTCTTCTTTCTGGCAGGCTCCTCCTCAGGGGACTCCTTCCATCTCTGACCACGGGGCTTTTTATTTCCTGGCTCTGTGACAGGGGCAACTGCAAAAGGAAAAGACCTTAGCACTTAAAGGCCACCGTGCCTGAGCTCTTTAACCTCAGATTCCTGAGAACACCTGCCCACCCCAGCCCATAGCAATGGGTCTCCCACTGAGCCTCAGCTCCTCTGTTGACTGACCAGGCAGCTCAAGGGGGCGGAGTCCTCTGGGCCGGAGCCTCTTAGGGAGGGATGGGTTGTCCTCGGAATCCAAGAGGACCACGATCTCTGCTGGCATCCTGGCAGGGTCCGGGTTGCAGTTGGGGTCTGGCTGGCCATCCTGGCCTGACTCTGAGGGGGCAAAAGCCCACTGAGCTCCAGGGCCCCTACAGGCCCCACTTTTCCCTCAGCCCTCACCCTCACTACCTAGGCTGGGCAGAGATGGCTGGTCAGCTTGAATGTCTTGCAGAAGGGCTACCCCTTCACTCCAGGCTTCCAAGATGTTGCTCTTCTCAGAGGGGCTCAGGTCCAGGGTATGGGGATGCTGCTCCAGGATGTGTGTGCGAGCAGTATCTGCTGATGGGGACCGGATCTCAGCCCCACACACCATGCACAGCGCCCGTCCACTGCCTCCTGGGCTGTTCCCCACCAGGAACTCCTGTTCCCATGACACTTGCTGCTTGGGTTCCTCACAGCTTTCGACACCTGCTTCCAGCAGGCTGGGCCTAGGTGGTGGCGTCTTTTCCTGTTGGGTTACTGTAGAAAGGGGAAAGTGCTGTGAAGATGCCAGGGTTGGTGATGCTCAGAACACATCTGTGTGGGGTGGGTGAGGGGACTCTTGTGCAATGCTCCACCTCCCCACTAGATTCTAACAGACCAGTAAATAAGACCACAGCCAGGATGCCCGCCCGGTATTGCATCTTCACCTTTAAATCTAGTCATTAGTCCCACTCTACGTGTTTCTGGGGCTACTGGTACCCTATGTCTGTCTTGACCTCCCTGATTATCTGGCAGATATCATTCCAGTGAGGCTTCTAGATTTCCTTACCCAATAGTCAACTGTACCCATATCTGATTTGTAGGCACAATGCACAGTTCATTCTCAAATAATCCAAGCTGACCTCAACTTTACTATGTAGCTGAAGATAATTTTAACTCCTGATCTTCTTGCTTCTAGCTCCTGAGTGCAGCATGTGCCATCATGCCTGGTATTTGAGGTGTCAGGGACCAAACCTAGGGCTTCACGTATGCTAGGCAAGCATTCTACCCACTGAGATATAGCTCTAGCCGTCTCCCTTTAAATTATTAATTAGTGTATGTATAATCGGGGACACATGTACCAAGGAGTGCATGTGGAGGCCAGAGGACAGCCCTGTGGAATAAAGTTCTATTCTTCCACCTTTACATGGACTCTAGCAATAGAACTCAGGGTCATGCTGAATTACCCAGGCTGGCCTTGAACATGCAATTCTCCTATCTCAGCCTCCTGAATAGGTAGCATGGGGCTTCACTACCAGATTCGGCTTTTCAGTAGTCCTAGTTTGCTTTTTGTTTTCTGTTACGATAAACACCAAGACCAAAGCAACTTGCAGAGGAAAGGGGTTACAGGTTACGGTCTATCGTGAACAAAGCCAAAGTGGGAAGGATTCAAGGTAGGAGTCTGAAAGAGGAATGTTGCTTTGAAAACTTCCTCCCTCAGCCAGGTAGTGGTGGTACATGCCGTTAATCCCAGCACCTGGGAGGCAGAGGCAGGCAGGATGCCAGGGCTACACAGAAAAACAATGTCTTGAAAATCCAAAAAAGCAAGCAAGCAAGCAGACAAGCCAGCCAGCCCCCTCTCTAGCTTGTTCAGCTTGTTTTCTTATATAGCCCAGGGCTACCAGCCTAGGGATGGTGCCACACACAGTGGGCTGGGCCCTCCCTCCTGCTGTGGATGATTGATTGATAAATAAAACACTGATTGGCCAGTAGCCAGGCAGGAAGTATAGGCAGGACTAGCAGAGGGGAGAATTCTGGGAACAGGAAGGCTGGGGCTGAGGAGAGGCTGCCATCTGCCACCATGAGAAGATGTTAAGATACCAGTAAGCCACGAGCCATGTGGCAACTTATAGATTAATAGAAATGGGTTCATTTAAGATATAAAAACAAGCCGGGCGGTGGTGGCGCACGCCTTTAATCCCAGCACTCGGGAGGCAGAGCCAGGCGGATCTCTGTGAGTTCGAGGCCAGCCTGGGCTACAGCGTGAGATCCAGGAAAGGCGCAAAGCTACACAGAGAAACCCTGTCTCGAAAAACCAAAAAAAAAAAAAAAAAAAAAAAAGATATAAAAACAGTTAGCAAGAAGCCTGCCATGGCCAATCAGTTTACAAGCAATGTAAATCTCTGTGTGTTTACTTGGTTGGGTCTGAGCGGCCGTGGGACTGGCGGGTGAGAGATTTGTCCTGACTGTGGGCCAGACAGAAAAACTCTAACTACACCCTCCCACATCAATCAAGACAATTTCCAAGAGACATTGCCCACAAGCCAGTCTGAAGGAAGCAATTCTTCAGCTGAGGTTCCCTTTTCCAAGGTGACTCTAAAAACTGTGTCAAGTTAAGAATAAAAACCAGTTAAATTCACCCCTTCATGTCTTCAAAATCAGTACCATATGGGAGATGAGTTTTACACACTGCCATGTTCAGTTTCCAGCTTGAGATGCAGCCTTTGCCCTCTCTGGACCACCAGATTTTGTGTGCTGACCCTGAGGAAATACTTCTCTGAAAATTTTATCACAATAATGCCATGCTTTTATTAATTACTGTTGATTTTTTTTCAGCACCAGGTAACCAACGTCCATTGTTCCAGTTTCACTTGCAGATTCTTAAAATTGAAATATATCACACAAACTACCCTGATAAGAGTCTACTTCCTGCTAGGCAATGGTGGCACACATTTAAATCCCAGCACTCAGGAGGTAGAGGCAGGTGGACCTCTGAATTCAAAGCCAGGCTGATCTATGGAGTGAGTTATAGGACAGCCAAAACTATAGAGAAACCCTGTCTCAGAAAAACTAAAAAGTCTTTACTTTCCCTGAAACTTAAAAAACCACCCAAACCTTGATCAGCTGCATTTCTCTCAATTTCCTGCACCAAGAAAGGGTTTCCTTGAGTAGCCCTGGAATAATCCTTTGTACACTGTGAATATGTATTACTCTCAATGGTTAACAAAGAACTGGCTGGCCAGTAACCAGGCAGGAAGTATGGCAGAAAAACCAAACTAAGGATGGTGGGATGAAGAAGGGCAAAGCCAGGAGTCTGAGCAGACACAGAGAGAAGGACATGCCATAATGAAAAAAGGTACCAAGCCATGTGGCAAAGCATAAATAAGAAATATGGGCTAACTTAAAATGTAAGAGTTGCCGGGCAGTGGTGGCGCACGCCTTTAATCCCAGCACTCGGGAGGCAGAGCCAGGCGGATCTCTGTGAGTTCGAGGCCAGCCTGGTCTCCAAAGTGAGTTCCAGGAAAGGCGCAAAGCTACACAGAGAAACCCTGTCTCGAAAAACCAAAAAATAAAAAAAAAATGTAAGAGTTGCTGGGCGGTGGTGGCGCACGCCTTTAATCCCAGCACTCGGGAGGCAGAGGCAGGCGGATCTCTGTGAGTTCGAGGCCAGCCTGGGCTACCAAGTAAGTTCCAGGAAAGGCGCAAAGCTACACAGAGAAACCCTGTCTCGAAAAACCAAAAAAAAAAAAAAAAAATAAAAAAAAAAAATAAAAATGTAAGAGTTAGCTGGTAACGAGCCTGAGCTATTGGCCGAACATTTATAATTAATATTAAGCCTCAGTATGTTTATTTGGGAGCTGCTGGCGGGATAGAAACTTCTGCCTACAAATGGTATTCCAACATGGGGCTGGAATTTTCACATAAGACCCAAGAAAGCTTAAAAAAAAGGTTCCAAACACACAAAAAACTGGGTAAAGCGCAGCTTCTTGGTAACTATTTTTTCTTGGTAAGATCTGTTTTCTAGTGGCAAGCAGAGGCAAGTCTCCTTTAAGAGACAGCTTCTTGGCTCAGTGTTAGCAGCAAACACAGGTGTGAAAGAGGCACTGCCACCAAACACTTAGATGGGGTTTATGAGCAGTGGGTGATGCACTTCTTGGTGACAGCGTGGACCCAAAAACTCCCCAGAGTTGGGGGCAGTAAACGTGGCTCTTGTGCCAGTACCTCCACCATGAAGTTTAGCTATCAGGGAACCAAGCGGGGTGGAGCCAGCCGCAAAACAGAGGTGGAGTTCCTAGCCACGCTGCTTAGCAGTTTAAAGACTCATGTGGTCAGAAAAAGATTACAGATATGGATGGAAAAAACCTCTAAAATGGGTTATAGTGTATTTAAAAATATACATAGGTTGCCGGGCGGTGGTGGCGCACGCCTTTAATCCCAGCACTCGGGAGGCAGAGCCAGGTGGATCTCTGTGAGTTCGGGGCCAGCCTGGACTCCCAAGTGAGTTCCAGGAAAGGCACAAAGCTACACAGAGAAACCCTGTCTCGAAAAACCAAAAAAAAATATATACATAGGCTTTAGAGAGAAAAGAGAAAGTATAGATAATCATAAAAAAGAAATATAGTCTTAAAAGCTGGAGAGATGGCTCAGCGGTTAAGAGTACTGACTGCTCTTCCAAAGGTCCTGAGTTCAGTATCCCAGCACCCACATGGTGGCTCACAACCATCTATAATGAGCTCTGGTGCCCTCTTCTGGCCTGCAGCCATATATGCAGACAGAACACTGTATACATAATAAATAAATAAATCTTTAAAAAAAAAAAAGAAAAAGAAAAAAGCCACATAAAGATGAGAAATACGCAGAGAGTCTGGATCCTGTATGTTATTGTGTTGTCTTTAAATTTTTTTGGCTGCTAAGAGACACTGAATATATAAAAACTGCTAGACTGAGCCAACCTATATATTTAAAAAAATATCTTGAGTTCAAAAGCCAAGTCAAAAGGTGTTGCTTTGGGGGAGAAGACTCTCTGAAAGTTCTGACTATAGATGAAAAGAAATCTACAAAAACTACGAAACGGGACTGGATAGATGGCTCAGAGGTTAAGAGCACTGGACATTATTCCAGAGGTCCTGAGTTCAATTCCCATCAATCACATGGTGGCTCACAACCATCTATAATGACATCAGGTGCCCTCTTCTGGCCTACAGGTATACATACAGGCAAAACTCAGTATAAATCATAAATAAATATTAAAAAAAAACTACAAAACATGTAACATACATTTTACCTGCTTAAATATAAAACAAAAAATCATCTTTGGCTAACTTGTGTACAACATACATTCTGTACCCGTATTAATAAAAAAATGTATGCTACCTTTAAAAGTTTATGTATTTTCAGAACAAGGAGACCAGACACCAATGAAAACAGATGGCCCAGGTGATCCAGCATCTGAAAATGCATCTTTTACAATCTCCTCAAAATTCTACATTAAAAACAGATTCAAAGCTGTGGGCTGAGATGGTCCAGCCTCTCAAACTACTCCAGCTAAAACCCAATAATTATACTGGTTTTATCAAGGTTCCCCCCAAAACCCACAAACAACAGAAAGTAGTCTACAGAATACTTACATTCCCAAAATATTGGTTATGGATGTTTGTTATCATTTAAGGGAGGGTTGGTTACAAATTGTTATTGGTCATAGTTAAAAAACAAAGGCTAAACAAAGGAGTTAAATTCAAAGATCTCTTTCTAGGGAGAAAAAAGAAGGATCTGATATA